AAAAAGTATTTGCCCCCTTTCTAAATTTCTCTACTTTTGCATATTTGTGATACTTAATGTTATCAGATATTCAACCAAAACCTAATATTAGATAAAGGGAACATAAGTGGACAAATAACACAACAATTACATAAACAAAGTTATGCAACACCCAATTCCGCTGTGTGAAAAAGTAATTGCCCCCTTACACTCAATAACTGGTTGTGCCACCTTTAGCTGCAATGACTCCAACCAAATGCTTCCTGTAGTTGTTGATCAGTCTCTCACATCGCTGTGGAGGAATTTTGGCCCACTCTTCCATGCAGAACTGCTTTAACTCAGTGACGTGTGGGTTTTCAAGCATGAAGTGCTCGTTTCAAGTCCTGCCACAACATCTCAATTGGGATTTGGTCTGGACTTTGACTAGGCCATTCCAAATCTTCCAATTTGTTGCTTTTTAGCCATTTTCATGTAGACTTGATTGTGTGTTTTGGATCATTGTTTTGCTGCATGACCCAGCTGTGCTTCAGCTTCAGCTCACAGACGGATGGTCTGACATTCTCCTGTAGAATTCTCTGATACAGAGCAGAATTCATGGTTCCTTCTATTAAGGCAAGTCGTCCAGGTCCTGAGGCAGCAAAGCACCCCCAAACCATCACACCACCACCACCATGCTTGACCTTTGGTATGATGTTCTTACTGTGGAATGCAGAGTTTGGTTTTCGCCAGGCACTACTGGAACCATGTCGTCCAAAAAGTTATACTTTTGAATCATCTGTCCATAGAACATTCTTCCAAGAGTCTTGATGATCATCCAGGTGCTTTTTGGCAAACTTGAGTCAACTTTTTGGACGAGATGGGTCCCATTATGCCTGGCGAAAACCAAACACTGCATTCCACAGTAAGAACATCATACCAAAGGTCAAGCATGGTGGTGGTGGTGTGATGGTTTGGGGATGCTTTGCTGCCTCAGGACCTGGACGACTTGCCTTAATAGAAGGAACCATGAATTCTGCTCTGTATCAGATCATTCTACAGGAGAATGTCAGACCATCCATCTGTGAGCTGAAGCTGAAGCGCAGCTGGGTCATGCAGCAAGACAATGATCCAAAACACACAATCAAGTCTACATGAAAATGGCTAAAAAGCAACAAATTGGAAGTTTTGGAATGGCCTAGTCAAAGTCCAGACCTAATCCCAATTGAGATGTTGTGGCAGGACTTGAAACAAGCAGTTCATGCTTGAAAACCCACACGCCACTGAGTTAAAGCAGTTCTGCATGGAAGAGTGGGCCAAAATTCCTCCACAGCGACATGAGAGACTGATCAACAACTACAGGAAGCATTTGGTTGGAGTCATTGCAGCTAAAGGTGGCACAACCAGTTATTGAGTGTAAGGGGGCAATTACTTTTTCACACAGGGGAACTGGGTGTTGCATAACTTTGTTTATGAAATAAATATGTAATTGTTGTGTTATTTGTTCACTTATGTTCCCTTTATCTAATATTAGGTTTTGGTTGAAGATCTGATAACATTCAGTATCACAAATATGCAAAAGTAGAGAAAATTAGAAAGGGGGCAAATCCTTTTTCATAGCACTGTATGTGTGTGTTCCATGGGTTGAACAGAGCAGTTAGATGATGGTATGCACCAGTCAGGACCAATGCTCTGGACAATGAGTGTAATTATAGCCTACTTCTCTGGTCTCAAATAAAAGTTGAAGATGATAACGTTTGTATGTTGAGTTAGTGTTCAGATCAGCATAAAATACAGTTTACGCAAAAGAGAACTACATTCACATTTTACATTTTATTTAAAAATAAAGTATTGATAATGTGTTGGAGGAAGAAAAAAATAATTAAAAAACACAAAACCAGAATTAAAAAATACCATAATGAGCATGGTAACCAACCTATAATAACCTTGTAGTATAACATAGACTTGAAAATAATCGAAAACGTAAGGCAGTCGTCATCGCACTAGCATTTTGTTTCACAACTGACCAAACCAAGCATTTATATGTTTAAATCATTCATAAGAAACAAAACATTTATATTTTCTGCCATATCTATACAAAAACGTATCTGCAAAAATAAATAGTGAAACTGATATATTGTCAAACATGGTATATAAATAGTCAAACTTTACAAAATCTAATAAATTGATTCATTTGTTAAAAATAAAGAGGTAAATATTTGCAATACATTATTTCAACATTGTTTATACGGCTGCTAAACTAAGTGTCTGCATTGTGATACAATACAATGACATTCAAATAGAATTAGAGAGTGATTAAGAAGTGTGTTATTCTTGAAAAAGTTGGTGATATATTTGATAGTTAACAAACCCTTATCACTCGTTAAAAACAGTCCTGTAAAATAATACAAGAAAAAGTGTTCTCTGCCATGTCACCAACAGGTTGCTCAAATATGACTCTGCAGTGCCTCCCTCTGGTTGCACTTGGTACTGTAGGGGAGTTTTCAGGGGGACAATACTTTTTAGATGTCTAAAATAAAGGGAGATTTACAAGGTACATAACAAACATAAACGGTACAACAAAAAGGGAAAATATGAGTAGGAATAACATACAGTGCATTTGGAAAGTATTCAGACCCCTGGACTTTTTCCACATTTTGTTACGTTACAGCCTTATTCTAAAATTCATTAAAATTGTTTATTTTTTTCTCATCAATCTACACACAATACCCCATAATGACAAAGGAAAAACAGGTTTTATACATTTTTGCAAAAGTATATATATATAAAAAAAGAAATATCACATTTACATAAGTATTCAGACCCTTTACTCAGTATCTTGTTGAAGCACCTTTGGCAGCGATTACAGCCTCAAGTTTTCTTGGGTATGACGCTACAAGCTTGGCACACCTGTATTTGGGGAGTTTCTCCCATTCTTCTCTGCACATCCTCTCAAGCTCTGTCAGGTTGGATGGGGAGCGTTGCTGCACAGCTATTTTCAGGTCTCTCCAGAGATGCTCGATCGGGTTCAAGACCGGGCTCTGGCTGAGCCACTGAAGGACATTCAGAGACTTGTCCCGAAGCCACTCCTGTGTTGCCTTGGCTGTGTGCTTAGGGTCGTTGTTCTGTTGGAAGGTGAACCTTCACCCCAGTCTGAGGTCCTGAGCGCTCTGGAGCAGGTTTTCATCAAGGATCTCTCTTTACTTTGCTTCGTTCATCTTTCCCTCGATCCTGACTAGTCTCCCAGTCCCTGCTGCTGAAAAACATCCCCACAGCATGATGCTGCCACCACCATGCTTCGCCGTAGGGAATCTTGCTTCTCATGGTCTGAGAGTCTTTAGGTGCCTTTTGGCAAACTCCAAGCAGGCTGTCATGTGCCTTTTACTGAGGAGTGGCTTTCGCCTGGCCACTATCATAAAGGCCTGATTGGTGGAGTGCTGCAGAGATGGTTGTCCTTCTGGAAGTTTCTCCCATCTCCACAGAGGAACTCTAGAGCTCTGCCAGAGTGACCATCGGGTTCTTGGTCACCTCCCTGACCAAGGCCCTTCTCCCCCGATTGCTCAGTTTGGCCGGGCGGCCAGCTCTAGGAAGAGTCTTGGTGGTTCCAAACTTCTTCAATTTAAGAATGATGGAGGTGCCTCGACACAATCCTGTCTCGGAGCTCTACAGACAATTCCTTCGACCTCATGGCTTGGTTTTTGCTCTGACATGCACTGTCAACTGTGGGACCTTATAGACAGGTGTGTACCTTTCCAAATCATGTCCAATCAATTGAATTTACCACAGGTGGACTCCAATCAAGTTGTAGAAACGTCTCAAGGATGCTTAATGGAAACAGGATGCACCTGAGCTCAATTTCTAGTCTCATAGCAAAGGGTCTGAATACTTATGTAAATAAGGTATTTCAGTTTTTAATTTTTGATAAATGTGCAAAAAATTCTAAAAACCTGTTTTCGCTTCGTCATTATGGGCTATTGTGTGTAGATTGCTGAGGAAAAAAGTAATTTAATACATTTTAGAATAAGGCTGTAACGTAACAAAATGTGGAAGAAGTCAAGGAGTCTGAATACTTTCCGAAGGCACTGTATCTAGATAAAATGTAGTTTTAGTTTTTCTATTAGCAAATTCCATTTGCCATTAAAAATGATTATCGAGTTAAAGAAAATGACATTCAAATATTCACCCAATCCAATGACTTTACTGCCCACTCTAGGACCGTTGTTGTAGGATCTAACCATTGTTTAAAGTTCTCTCTCATGCCGCTGCAGTGTCACAGAGACTGTCTTCTCTTTTCACTGGATTATTGTCCTGCCTTGAGCTTGGGGTACAGGTTGAGGTCTTTTCGCTCTGTGTGTAAAAACCTATGGTACCCTAGTTGTCAGCAATTCAATGTCAACCATACACACCACCAGCTAGACCAAAAAGCTAGCTTCTACTCTATGCTACTCATCACATGAGATTTCAACTCTATAAAGGTGCATAGTTTCATTATGTATGCCCTGCTAATGCAGTGCCCAGTGGCAGTCTCTCTGAGGTAGGTGTAAGCTCAGTTCTCTATACTCGCTCTCATCTCACCACCTAAAGATATAAACTCCTTTTGCTTGCCCCACCACCCTCCCACTAAAAAAATCAGACAGTTGATAGAATAAGTTAAGATCTTTAGAATTCTAGATAAAATATATAGCATAGGTAGTATTCTGTTTCAGCATTGGTTAGCTCTGCTCATTGCCATAGTGATGCAATGAAGCTGGCCAATGCTGAAACAAACCGGCATCCAGGCTGTATGCAGATCAGCGGCATACAAGTCTCCCCCTTCTCTCTACCTTCACCTCTCTACCCCTCTTCTACCATCTCTACCTTCACCTCTCTACCATCTCTACCTTCACCTCTCTACCCCTCTTCTACCATCTCTACCTTCACCTCTCTACCCCTCTTCTACCATCTCTACCTTCACCTCTCTACCCCTCTTCTACCATCTCTACCCTCACCTCTCTATCTTTCCCTTCCTCTCTCTCCAGCTCACTCTCTCTCATGCGTGGTGGTGCTCAGAGCAGGCTGGCCAGGCTGGTAGCGGGTCCATTCTGGGCCTGGAACTGGCCCACTGGAGGAGGTCCATCCGTCCACTGCAACAACACACAGTCTGTCAGCTCACTGTCTCACACTCATTCCCTCTAGCTGGAATGCCTACTTGTTCAATGTTTTTAAATGGAAATTGTAAAGTATTTTGTCTGTAAAGTATTTTGTCTGTAAAGTATTTTGTCTGTAAAGTATTTTTCGTTATGTGTCGGACCCCGGGAAGACTAGCTATCATCATGGTGTCAGCTAATGGGGATCCTAATAAAATAAAATAATTCCTCTAACTGTGCATGTACTTGTTGTGTATTTTCTGTGGACAAATATTCACCATTGTGCAGTACAAAGATATTGATGGATGACTAACTGATATATTGATTGATTGATGAGTTCTTATTCGTAATGAAGTTATGCTTTGGAAGGCTGTGCATCGATTATAAAGATATTGAGGGATTGATGAATCATACACTGATGAGGTTGTGCTCAGGGAGGCTGCAGGCAGCGATGTGGTCCTGCAGGAGCTGCTGGGAGAAGTTCTGATGCATCTGAGCTGCTTCGTGGGCGTCTATCGTGTTCCCACACGCCTTGTTTAGATCTACAGGGAGAACAGTCATTTCAGTTAGTACGTCTCTCTCACACACACACACACAAACAAACAGCTGTTGCCTTACCCTTGAGCAGAGCCGAGGACCAGAGCTGGACTGACATGTCAGGGATCTTGCTGGCCAGCTGCATGGCTGGGACCACCATGTTGTTGCTCTCCTGGAGGAAACACAGACAGCACCAAATGCATGGTTCAGATTCAATCACACCTCCTAGCATTGCTCCGAGGCATTATGTGTTTTTGGAAACACTGCTATAAGACCCTGGAGAGCCCTGTGATGTGATCTCACCCGGTGGTTCCCCAGCACGTAGAAGATATGGCCCAGTAGAACCAGAGAACATGCAGTCAGACGATTCAGGTCTTCAGCATTGGACATCTTCAGAGTCTCCCTAAGGAACCGCCTAACAGGACACACAGTCACACACACACACTATTTTGTTTATGTTTCACAGTCGTGCTCTTGGGCTTTCTTTCCAACCAAGCAGGTATTCTAAATGTGTGAAGATATTATTTGTATGTGAAGTAATGGAGATGTACATAAAGAAATTGTGTCTGGTGAGCCATGGTTGAACTTACTTGGCCTCGTTATAGCGTCCCTGGAAGAAAGAGAGCAGTCCACGGATGTAGAAGGCTGCTGCTACCAGACAGTGAGAGCTGGAACGGGAGGAGTAGAGAAGTCCATTTAGAATCAAACATCACACTCGCAAGATTGCACTTGGAGCTGCCAAAATACATAAACCTACAAACACCTTTTGTTACCTGACAGGGAAGTTGTGATCTGGGTTTATCCTCTCCAACAGGTTATCAAGCTGTTATAACAGAAAAAGGGACATAATACCTCATTCATCACATACAACAACCCTGCCATCCTGAATGCACCCCAGATGCCCTCTGACCTCCTGGTGCCTGTTGCCCTCCCTGATATAGACGCTGGCCAGATTGGTCACAATGAACGCCCACAGTTCCTGGTGCGTCGTCAGCTGGAAGAGTGAAACACACAGGTATTTCAGTTAACACACCCAGAAATATCAAACTAAGAGGTTACTAATTTTGCCAATAGATATTCTAGTAGACACACTCACGTCACTCACCCGCAGGGCAGCAGTGAACTGCGCCTCAGCGTTATCCATGCAGTTCACTGAGATGCAGTACAGGCCCTGGAACACAGACCACAACAGTAACGAGGGACTTGGTCGGCACAAAATAGAAAATCATGACTAAACAACTACCTGTCCACTTCACTTATAACGTACAGATATAAGAAACAGAATTCCAAGGTTAGAAAATCTCCAATCCTCACTAGCAGGGTGTGTAGCTGGGATGCATGGTTGGTGAATAACCTGGGAGACTGCGCACACAGCTGACACACCTGAGAGATCTGAGAATAGGGAAACTTCATCAGCATCACGAAAATCTATCTGTTTACATGAATTAATGTGCATGTTAAGCCTGTTCCATACCTCTTGCAATGCCGTGGCCTTGTGACCAGTGACGAGTCGGCACATGATGATGTGCTCCAGCAGGATGACTTGGAATGTGGAGAGGATGGGGCTGGAGTCCAGCACTGGAAAACACATCAATATCAGCAACAACAACAATAACAGAAAGTCACTGACAAACACATTAATACTTCTACAGCTGAAAAATCACTAGGAGATTGAGAGAGGGTGAGGTTCAGAGGATCACAGAGATCCTATTAAATTACTTCTATATGTAATTCTCCTATTAAATTACTTCTATATGTAATTCTATCGTGAAGATTCCCATGACTTACTTTTGAGCTTTTCCAGCTGCATGAGTGCTTTGTCTGTGTATTTCTGGGCCTTCTCCAGGTACCCTGCTTGCATGGAGTGCATGACTGTCAACTGTGGGAGAAAAAAAAGTAAGTAAAGTCAGTTGTGACAACAATATGACCAATAGAGGTCAAAGGTCACATGCAGTAGCTGTATCTCACCAGGTAGACAAGGACACACATGTGCTCCTTGGGCAGCCAGTGGAACAGGTCGGCAGGGTTACTGGGTAGGATCTCATCGTCGTGGAGTGTAGAGATGGTCTGGATGCACTGCTGTAGCTGCTTCAGACACGGCTTCACACTCTTCACCTATCAGCCCAAATATATTTATTTATTACATCAGTTATGTGCCTTTTCAAGTGGGATTACATCTGGAATTGTATGACTTTATCTCTGCGTGCGTATTGCTCCTAAATCCTGCCGTGTTGATTAAGTCCTATTTTATACATTTTTGACAACAGGCCCCTTATCTTTTTATTTTGTGACCAGTGACCACATAATCAGGTAATATCCCATGTATAATATCTACTGTATCCATATTGTATCCATACCGTATGTAGAGTGGGTCAATTCCTTTCTATATTCTGTCTACTTCATCAAGTCAAATTCTGGGTATGTGTAAATGTACTTGGCGAATAAAGGTGATTCTGATTCTGTACCTGTCCAGCGTCCAGGTAGTGTGTGACCTGCAGCACCAGGAAGAACACCCTGAGGGACTCCTTCTGGATGGGGTTCCCCTGCCAGTTCTCCACGATGGTCCCACACAGCGTCAGCAGAGGATGCACCTCCCCAAGCTTCCTCTCCATCAGCAGCAGCTTCAGACAAACACACAGGGTGACATTTCACTCTTCTTAAAACAGTCACAATTTTGCCCCTAAAAATATGTTTTCCTTCAAAATCTTCAAGTATGATGCCTCAAAACTACCATTACAACAATGTCTATCTGGTAGTGACTAGTAATGCAGGTAAGTAAGTAAACAGAGCAAATATAAGCATTTGTTTTCTTTTTTAGGTGGATATCAAGACTTTCATTAAAAAACAGTTTAGTAAGCAATGGTCTAAGTGGTTTCAGCAGAATTTAATTTTATCATTATTCGATTTGAATTTATCGTCATTAGAGAATGTCTTCACATGATCAGTATATTTCTCAACTTACCATTCCTTTACTCAACAGAAAGAGAGCTCTGTGCAGGAGGAAAGACAACAAGGACATCAGTAACATCATCTGACCAGACAACAACACTAGTCCTCAGGGCAGTAAAACAACACCTCGACAATGTACAGACATTACCACAACTGTTCAACTGTTTGACGTGTGTTGCGTTCTACAATGATACACTACCTGGTGTATTCAGAGCCCACTACCCTGGTATACTCTGCCCCTACCCCCAGGAGGTCACAGGCTGACACCAGATCCTTCTCCAGTGTGTGCAGTTGCTGAAGGGGAGAAAAGGACAAGAAAATTTTAGCCCACTATTGAAGACAAGTAAATAATAACCCAAATAGATGTAAATTGAGGTGAATAACAGCTAAATACATCTCTGTGAACCTTGACTTCAGAACTGATTTGAATTCTTAAATGTCAGTCATTTTACAGATTGGGTTATCAGGTCCGGTTGTTAGGTTGACTTACCGCCAGTTGGAAGAGCAATCTGCAGTGCCAGTAGGGAGTTTGCTGGGAGATCTGGATGGCCTTTCGCAGCAAGGGCTTTGCCGAATCAACCAGATTCTACAAAGAAAGACCAGATCAGAGATAATCATCAGTTCATTGACTTTAATAACTTTTACAACAATACTTTAAAGGAAACTACAATCAGAAGTGTTTGCTAAACCAACTACCGTATCCTACTTAATCTTACTGTTTCAGAGTTCACTTACATGCAAAAGCAGCTTAATGAGGGAAAAGACAATGCAAGGATTACTGATTAGGCCTACTTTATGATGACATAACAGCCAAAGTCAAAATAATGGAGTATGACATTTTGTCTCGCAAAAGGTTGAATGACTGAAAAGTTGACAAGCGAAAATGCTGAGATAAACGTGTGAACAGATCAGCAAGTGACATTTGATTGAATTTAGGGAATAGTGCAAGGTGAAGGTGGGCCACAGGTTGGAAAGGAGAACAACACTTCACTTACCTGTTGACAATACAGTTCTGACAGAAGACTTGCTGCCTCGAATTTGACATCTTCAAACTGAGGGATCTGGTATTACTTGTAAAGGAAATGTATTTGTCTGCATGATAACACTAGCATCAATGAAGGGGAAAAAATGAAGGGGAAAAAATGTATGGCGCATCGAGACATGGTCAACATTTGTTCAGGTAGGAGCATGTTCTCTCTCACACACACACACTCACTCACTCACTCACGTAAAAGGATACCTGTTGTGATATGAACCACTATGTGGGAAAAACAGAATGCGAAAGTTAGTTTCAATATCAGTTTTGTACATGCAATGTTGCATTGCTTGATTGATGTCCCAACAATTATTGTAAGATAGCGCGCGATAATTAAAATATCCTCACTGATTAATCAACCACTTTCGTCCACTTAACTGATCAGCAACACACCGATGGCTTTGCCAAAGATGTGGCCTTCCTTTTCCCTCCCCACTAACCACATCCACGGAGTTTCCTGGGGAATGCTTACCGCTTTCTCCAAGTGGCTCCGGGCGAGTTCGGTGTTCTTGGTGTGGTGGTAGAGTACCGAGCCAAGCTGGAGATGAGTTCGGGCCTCGACTCTCTGCGGCGGCTTGAACTGAAACACCGCCTCCAGACAGTGGACACAGAGACGGATCTTCGGAGGACTTGAGGTGCGAAAATGTTCGGCAAAGCCGAGCAGAGCTAGGTACCAAGATTCCGGGGCCTCTCCGCTTGTCGCCATTTTGCTGACAACAAAAACAACAACAGTCGCTATCGCACGACTGCCGTTGTTCAGCGATAGTTTGCTCCAGAGCGCTGATCTAGGATCGGTTATGCTCTCTGACTTCTGATTGTTGTAGTTAGGTTGGGAAATTGTAAGCTGATCCTGGATCTGCGGGTAGGAACAAGCGACCCCGCGCGATTTCAGTGGAAGCGATCACGGAGATCCCTTGCATCTTGGGACATGTAGTTGATAATACATTTGCATAAATAGAATAATGCATTTATTTAACATTTGTAAATGTGTTATAGCTTGCCAAAAAATGTTGACCTGAGTCCAATATTTTTTATATTGTATGGATTCTTTGACTTCCGGTAGTGAATAGTATTTTAACAGAACTAGGAATAAAGTATGCGGAACATTTTTCTTTTATGAAAGTTAAACCTAGCCGAGACGATTTATTTGAAGGACTTGCGTACATGTTTTCCTATTCACAAACGTCAGTATAATAATGTAGCAATCATTTCCAGCAATATCGGCCACCACACTGTGACGTTATTTGCGTAATCTCCCCAGTTGGGTTTGATTCATTGGGCGCGTTCGAGCGGATCCCTTTTGTCAAGTCTTTGAACATCGTTAGTCACCGCCTTTCAAAGGGATCCATTTTTTGTCAAATTAACATCAGATTTGACTTTTCGTAGCAGGTTAGGATAATTAACGTAGCAGGTTAGGGGGAATTAGGTTAGGAAAAAGGTTAGATAAAATGCAAAAAAATCAACTTTTGACATTAATTTGACAAAAGCTGGATCCCTTACCCATTACCCTTTTTCTTCAGTGGGGTTTATCAGCGGTTGGCATCCAACGTTATGGTGCATTACCGCCACCTACTGTACTGGAGTGTGGACCAGCGACAGGGAGAAACTAAATCCTACCTGCCAGCCCCTTCTCCCTCATACTAGATCTCATCCTCTCTCTTTCCCTCTGATACTCCCCACACAGTAGCAATACATGCTCCACAGTCTCTGTTTCCTGACAATAATCACACTTTCCTGTTGGATGCTTTCCTATCACATTTAATGTCTTATTCAACTTTCCTCTGTACTTGAAATAAATGCCTTCCCTTATTATCTATATTCCACTGCTCCTGCCATCTCTGCACCATCACTGTATATATCAGTCTTTTTGCCTCTGCCTTGCTCATTGAAACTACAATATTTATTTATTTAACCTTTATTTAACTAGGCAAGTCAGTTAAGAACAAATTCTTATTTACAATGATGGCCTACACCGGCCAAACCCGGACGACGCTGGGCCAATTGTGCACCACCCTATGGGACTCCCAATCACGGCCGGTTGTGATACAGCCTGGAATCAAACCAGGGGGTCTGTAGTGATGCCTCAAGCACTGAGATGCAGTGCCTTAGACCGCTGTGCCACTCGGGAGCCCACCAATATCAACATCCCCACTACTAAGTGCTTGTTTAGCCTTTTCATCTACTGCCTCGTTCCCCTCCACCCCCACATGGGCTGGGACCCAAGTAAATCTTATCTGTATACCAATCTGTTTAATCCTACCATGGGTTGTAGCACCTCATAAAGCAGGTCTTGTCTGCTATGTGAGCTAAAGGACTGGAGACTCATTAACCCTGCACATGAATCAGAGCAAATAACTACTCTGTCTTGTTTGACTTCCTCTACACACTGCAAGGCCAACAGTATGGCCATCAGCTCTGCCTTATATACAGCCAGATGATCTGTAATACGTTTCCTGACTTCCACCCCACATTCCTGCACTACAAATGCTGACCCAGTACGTCCTGTCCTTGGATCTTTTGAACCATCTGTGTAAATGGCCACAAAATCCTGATACACAGTTTCCAGATGTCTCTTAAAGAAATCAGATGGATCAACACCCTCCCTATCTTTCTGTAGTCTCTCCAACACTTCTAGATCAACTACTGGAGGCGGGAGTAGCCACGGTGGATTTACAGGAATAACTACCGTTGGACTAAACTTCCTTCCATACAGTCCCATCTGCGCCTACATGTCGACTGCATGAACTTGACTAAAATCATGTGATCAAAGGTCATGACGTTTTGACTGCAAGTTTCTGCAGTTGCTCTTCGCCAACTTCATCCTGCAGCCCCCACCTGCATTGTGGGAGGCTCTATTGTCAACCAATCATTATTTTATTTTTTTGACCCACGTGAATGTGACATGACTGAAACAGGAACCAATTCATGTGTACAGTAAATATATACAAATAAATGTGATATTTTGGTTAAATGGGTTTCCATCGGATTTTCAACTTTGATGGTTTACTGATGGTTCTGTCATAAAAACTGTTGTGTTAAATAGCAAATGTGCCTACTCTGGGCTTGGCACATGCGCTCTAACCAACAACAGATACAGTGCGTGTAGGCTGTGCAGATAGGCTTGTCTACATGATGAGATCATTATGGTTAAGAGTGATCATATTTATTTGTCAAGCAGTCAAGCATTGATCATCATGTCACCAGAATAAGACCCTCAATATTTATTGGAAAGCAGCATCAAACTCATCCCCATGCATTTTCACCACCCTGTAAAGTTCATCATCAATTATTTCATCTGTAGCCATCACAGCTGTCATTATTTTATTTTATGGTATGACTTTGCTCAGCATAAAAACTGTTGATGGAAACTTGGTTAGTAGCTAGGTTTCCATCCAATTGGTGACAGAATTTCATGTGAATATTCTAAAATCCGCATAAAAACATTTTCCCACCAGAGATGTTTCCATCATATTGACCTGTTGCAGATCAAATGCTGTGCATGATGACATAGTGCACACAAAAATACATTTTGCGGTTAAATTCCCATGTACCGAATAAAAAAATACAAGTTAAATGTGTTTCCATCGCATTTTCAACTCTGATGGTTTCCTCACAAACATTTTTGCATTATATAGCAAGTTTGCCCACTCTGGTATTGGCAAGTGCACTCTAGCCAACAGCGCTATCTGCGCACGTATAGCCTACATGATGAAATTATTATTGATATTTTTTTTTGTCAAGCATCGATCATCATGTCACCAGAATCAGACCCTCGATATTTATTGGAAAGAAGCATCAAGCTCATCACCTTGCACTTTCAACACCCTGTGAAGTTAGTTCATCATAACTTTATTTCATCTGTAGCTTAATAAACTGCATGCTTTCCCGACAAGTTGTAGTGGGAGGAGCATCAAGATCACCTTGCTCTTTCACCACCCTGTGAAGTTCATCATCAATTATTTAATCTGTAGCCTAATAAACTGCATGGTTTCCCTAGTCGTGGTGGGGTGATCACACAACATATGGTGTGACTCCAAGTTTACTTCAATATGATGGTTATTATATCAATATTTGCGCATAAAGGTGTTTCCACCGCCATTAATTTTACTGACACAAAAAGATCCCACCATGTCAAATGAAGGAATCACAAGAGGTTGGTGGCACCTTAATTGGGGAGGATGGGCTCTTGTTAATGGCTGGAGCGGAGGAGGTGGAATGGTTTCAAACACATCAAACATATGGAAACCACATGTTTGACTCCATTCCATCTTTTCCATTTCAGCCATTACAATGAGCCCGTCCTCCTATAGCTCATCCCACCAGCATCCTCTGGAAGGAATTATCTGTAATTATTTTTGTATTTTATTAGGGATCCCCATTAGCTGCTGCCAAAGCAACAGCTACTCTTCCTGGGGTCCAAACACATTAAGACACTTATATTACACATAAAACAAAAGATAAAACAGTACATCATATAACACTGTCACACCACCACATATCCACAACACAAAATGTATGATACCACTATACAACAATATTACAATGTACGTGTGTGTAGAGTGTGTGTGCTAGCGCCTGTGTGCGTATGCGTGTGTCTGTACCTGTGTGTGTCTCTTCACAGTCCCCGCTGTTCCATAAGATGTATTTTTATCTGTTTTTTAAATCTGATTCTACTGCTTGCATCAGTTACCTGATGTGGAATAGAGTTCCATGTAGTCATGGCTCTATGTAGTGCTGTGTGCCTCCCATAGTCTGTTCTGGACTTGGGGATTGTGAAGAGACCTCTGGTGGCATGTCTTGTGGTGTATGCATGGCTGTCCGAGCTGTGTGCTAGTAGTTTAATCGGTGCATTCAGCTTGTCAACACCTCTCACATCTGTTGGCATTTATAAAATTGTACCAAAACGTCCTGTTTCCATCACAGCTGTTGCAAATATATATATATATATATATATTTTACATGGTATGACTTTACTCACATAAAAACTGTGGACTCTCGGCGGTTCTAGTCCGACTCTTCTCCCTCCCACTTCACTCCTCGACATTCGTCTACAATCGGTTGCCTTACCACTCAAACACGCCCATTATCAGCAGCACAGCCACACTGGGCGGTGGTAAGTGATAAATGATCTATTATTTTGTGAAGTTCCCGTTAATTTCATTTTAAGTAAACACATTAGAAACGTATGTCTAAACGTCTTCTTAAAGCATCTCAGCTGTCTGAAAAATAGTTCGCTAGATACCGGTATCTATCTCTGTGTGCTGATGGCTAAGTTGAGCTAGCTAGCTAGCTAGGGGTGTAGCTAGCTGGGAAGCTTGCTATCTTTGAGCAGCCGGTTGCAATCTTGACTTTTATGTGTCACCAGCAACACACAGCCCACAAAAATAATAATGTTGGAGAAGACTGGGTCCTTTCTGATTTTGCAATCGTTTTATTGCATTTCAGTCGTGGTCGTTGTCTCTTCGAGTTGAGCTGAACGTTGCAGACATGGCCTGTCGCAGGATCACACAGGAGACCTTCGATGCGGTGGTCAAGGAAAACATCGAGGAGTTCGACATGGACGCTGCGGAGGCCTTGAGGGAAGCGGTAGAGCAGTTTGAGTCTCAAGGTATAGTAACGTTACATGATTTGATCTGAATCGTAGGAGAAACATGCACGCGTAGTGTAACTCAACCGTATGATAGGCAATGTATAAGATACATCCCTGATCCTGGATAAATCTTCCTTCTCCAATGTTTTGCCTCCGTATTCCCCAGGGGTGGACCTCAGCTGTATAGTGAAAGCTGTGCCGACAGCAGGTGATGACCAAACAGAGGAGCATGAGGTCCTTCAGGTTGGTATGGAATATATTCTGCACTGAAGACAACACAACATAAGTCATCACCACTTGCAGCACTTGTCTCCAATCAATGTTGTAGGTTTACATTTCACAGAAAAGTACAGGATGCCACCCATCATGCCACAGCTCTGTACCGTTTCTATTTACAGGCCCTGGAATCCATTCAAATAGCGTCTGACAATAGTATGGCTGCAGATCTGAAACGCTTCACTGAGCAGTGCTCTCTTGGCTTCGCCCAGAGGCATCTGGCAGCCCAGAAAGATGCCTATCCTACAATCATCTCCTGCTGTAGAAAGACACTGGATGAACAGGAGGCTCTGCTGGCCTCTCTCTCTGCCCTGGCCGCTCTGACAGATGGCCAGCCAGACCTCCTTGACTTGGAGGGCAAGGAGCTCCTTGTGAGCATCCTTGGCATGTACCAGACAGACCCTGCACTGATGTTAGTTGCCATCCGTACGGTACGCCATTGCTGTTTGAAGCACGAGCAGAACAGGCAGGATTTGGTGAAGGCTGGAGTGCTGCCGTTGCTAACCGGCACCATCAAGCGACACACTGGACGCTCCGATCTGGTCAAGGAGGCCTGTAATGCCCTCCGGTACATGACCTTTGACGACGACATAAGAGTTCCTTTTGGACAGGCTCACGAACACGCCAAGATGATTGTTATGGAACACAATGGGTTGAAAGTCATTGTGGAGGCTGCCAAAGGTAATAGAGATGGCCAAAGGAAGATACTAAGAAAGATAATGATAGCTTTGAGTATTTATGATGGTAGATTCACATGTTTTATTCTTGGTGAATCACTTCTTCGCTGTTTATTTTCTCCCTCTCAGCACACCCCGAGAATAGCCCTCTCCTCAGTGTCCTGTGTGCTACTCTGTCCAGCCTGGCCGTGAGGAACGAGTTCTGTCAGGACATCTGTGACCTGGGAGGGTTAAAGTTCATGATGACCCTGCTGGCAGACAGTTATGAGTCCCAGGTAAGTTATGCTGACAAAAGTGCCTCAGACCAGCCTTTTTCAAACCTCTCCTCGGGGACCCCCAGCCGTTCCATGTATTTGAACTATTCCAGAACTAGCATACCTGATTCAACTTGTCATCAAGCCTTTTAGTACTTGAATTGGGGGTGTATTCACTAGGAACCAAATAGAAGCAAATGGAACAGGGAGGGACCTGCCTGAATTTGTCAATTAGAAACACTAGTTTTTGTTGCAAAACCTTTTCCGTTGTGAAACATTTAGCAACTGTTTGCTTTAATGAATACACCCCAGGTGCGCTAGTTCAGGGTTACAACAAAAGGGTGAAATGTCTGCCCCCCCCCCCCCCCCCAAACAAACAAAAAAGTCTGCTTCAGACTACATTTCTGTCTTTTTTTGGGGGGGGGGGGGACATTTATATTTTTGACTTGTGGTGATCTGAATTGCTCACTAATTACTTAACTTCCCTTGCAGGAACTCACAAGGCAGGTGCTGAGCGCTCTGAGGGCCATAGCAGGAAATGATGATGTGAAGGATGCTGTCACAAATGCCGGTGGAGTACAGCTCATTGTCATCGCCATGAACAGACACATGGGCAATGCTCAGGTTAGCCTTCCACTTCATGTTGTTGACAGTTCACACGTTTCTTCATAAGTCGTTGATATTGTTTAAACATGTTATATATTTTCGTGGCTTTTATGTTGTGCCCATATCTCCTGTCTGTAGGTCTGTGAGCAGGGCTGTGCTGCTCTCTCTGTGGTTGCTCTGCGCAAACCCAACAACTGCCAAGTCATTATGGAGGAAGGCGGTGCGCTGGCAGCTCTGCTGGCTATGAAGACCCATCCTGATGAGGTCAATGTGCAGGTAATACGAGGATACTGTTGTGGAAATTGTTACACAGGGACACTCGAAGTCAATCTTAAATGAATCATTGTTTATTGTCAGCGCGCTGGAGTGGTGACGTCTGTCAGTCCCGTTAGTTCCCTTATTTACTGACAAGTTATATTTGCATGATTTAGCTTATTCATCATTCATAATTAATGTTTGCTTCATTCATTTGACGACCAATACTGGGTGATGCATGTGACAGACCAATACCTCACAAGGCTTCTTCTCTCTAAGCTGAGACCGTGAAACAAGGTTCTGGGCGTACTGCCAAATTGCAGATACTGATAGTGAGGATTAGTTCAATCAGTCACTTGCATGAACACAGAAATTGGTTTATAGAAAAGCACAAACATAGAAATTGGTAAATAGAAAAGCACAAACATAAAAATGTCCATCACAATACAAGAAGTAATCAGTTCCCCATCGGCACTACATAGGGCTATAACTGGTGATCAAACCTTTTTTAACCTGCCACCTTTATGTAATACCATATTTCTCTCTCTCTCTCTCTCTGTTCCCCAGAAACAGGGATGTATGCTGCTGAGGAACCTAGTGGCACGCATGACTCAATTCAACCAGCCCATCCTGGAGATGGGAGCAGAGGCCCTCATCGCCCAGGCCCTGGCGGCCCACCGGGACTGCGGGGATCTGGCCAAAGCTGCCCTTAGGGACCTTGGCTGCCAGGTGGAGCTCCGAGAGCTGTGGACGGGCAAGAAGGGCAGCCTCACCAGAGATTGACATTAAGGTCTGATAGGCCCTCGGTCACCCACCCTGGTCCGGAGGATGTACAGGATGTGCATGCTTTTGTTCCAGCCCAGCTATAACAACCCTGATTGATCTAATTTACTGCTAATTTGAACAGGACATGTGTGTCAATTCTAGGCTGTAATAAAAGCTTGCACACTCTGCAGCTCTCCAGAACCAGGGTTGGGGACCACTACACTCAGAACACCTGAACACAGTCAATAAAGCCGCTAATCCTAGTGGCCTCCTCAAGTTTCTGATATGCCTGGGAAGCAGAGTTGTATGACGGGGTACAGAGCGGGATAAAGCTGTTGGACACAAGTGTTTTTAAATGTATTATTATTTACTGTACATATAATTTTGTTACTTTTTGTAACAAGGTAGTGTTGGAGTGGTTATAAGTTGTATTTTTACTTTTACAGCCATCATGTTTTATCTGCATTTTGTTTGATAAGTATTATATCCTGAAAATGTAGTTTTATTTACTAGGTCTATTATATAGTCTTGAAGTGTACTTAATTGAATGCAGACATGCTTTGTTGCACTCTGTTCTCTCTGTCGGCTTCATTGTAGTGTGACTTTTGCCTGTACTCCCAAATTGTTTCTTTGCTGAGCTGGACCTTTTAGATTTTTATGAGTATAAGTGTTAATTTTTTTTCAAGCATTCCTTAACAATACTCCATGGTTAGATTAAATTAGAAGTGAAGTAATTAAATTCAGGAAGTGATTTGAATTAAACATTTAATAATGGCAAAACTTTTTAAATCGTTTCTCCTTTCGAAGTCGTTGAAAATAGGGGCCCTTTTTTCAGTTATTGAATTGGAAATGTAGTTTATTTACTGAATTGACTGACTTCAATTTGACCCCAACCCTTCAACACTTTTACCCTTTTAAGTGTCCCTTTTTAAGTCTACCTGTTAGTCTCCTGTTATAGTAGGAAAGTGGAAATTCTGCTACGTGCCAGTCTTCCTCTTCCGCAGAGAGACCGGCATGTGAACTGAATGTCAAACAGTGTATTAAAACCAACAGTCATAATGTGTGCAATTTTTGCTGATCTAAACTACGTAATCTCTTTGCAGCTGCATAATATGAATCTAAAACATTATGAAATCTGATGTGTGTGTGGGTCTGATTTAGACTGCCCAATGGCTTGAGTGTGTTCTACCTACATCTGCGTGTATTCTAGTGGTGAAAGCAAAGTAGACACCAGCACACTGGTGAATGCTCATGCGGTGCATCAAGTGCAATGCCTTGACGCACATGGGAGTGAATCCTAACTTCCATTTAAGTTTTTTTAAATTACCTAGTCATGCATTGATGTCAGTAGGAGACTGAGTCAAAATTAATCTTAAATGGAAGTCAAGATTCACCTGTTGATGGACTGCAGAAGCATTCGGCAGTGTGCGGGTGTCTGATTTTCTCTCATGACTTTACCGTTGGCACCCTGCAGCTGAAAGTAGGCTAACTGGATGTGGGTACAGTACCGTACTTCTAAACTGTGTGAGAGTGGTTGAGCTTTGGTGTGTGTATGGGACTCTTCTATGTTTGAGTGAACTAAATAATGTTGTTTACTGAGCTCCCATTGGGAAGTGACAAGAAGGGGATGAGGTGTTGTAAAAAAAAAATTTTAGGACATGATTAAGAAAACTGTTCTCTCTGCCCTACAATGATAAACACTTCAGAACCAGTCTGAGGGGTTGCCCAGCGGTCAGGAACACTGGTCACAATAATGTTTACAAACTATTTCACCCACTTTATATGCATATACTGTATTCTAGTCATGGCTCCAATATAATATATATATACTTTTTTTTTCTGGATTATGTGTATAATTTTTTATTGCTAGGTATTACTGCACTGTTGGAGCTAGAAACAAAAGCATTTTGATGCACCTGTGATAATTGGAAATCTGTGTACTCGACCAGTAAACTTTGATTTGAGGGACTAGGATCAGATGAAGAGGGATAAAACATGTTATGCATGAACTTCATCTCTATATAGGACAGTGCTCTATAATCCTGGTCCTGGAGAGTTTACATGGTGTGCAGGTTTTTTTCCCAGGACTAACACACCTGCTGATCAATATATCACCTATAAGGGGAACTGAAATTCAGACAATAGAGACATGGCACTTGGTGTTGCACATTGATCATCTGCAGGCAGAACATTAACCTTCAACTCTATATATGTGTGCCCTCTTTTGTTATTTGCATGTTTAGTTGCAAAATTCATGGCAGACTCACAAAAACTCCCTATTCACAGCAAAAGCTTTTCGTGTTCGTTGACGCCCCTCAAACGGACCTATCCAAGCATCCGCCACCTCCCAATGACTTCATTTCCCACTATCCCACCGCACTCGCCCTTGCGAACGCTTGCTACGAGCGGTGTCACAACAGATACAAAACAGCGTGGAAGGTGACAGTTTCTAAAGTCATAGTTGAAACAGAAAATAATGTCACAGACAGTGCCTCCAGGATCCAAAGACGTTAGTGACACGAAAGTGTTGAACTTTCAAGAGTTTCTTATTCAAAACGTTGACACACTTTGAACATTGACGTGACTGCTAGCTAGTTAGCTTGCTAACCCTGCTAGCCAAGTTATTTTGGTGTGCAGAATCAGTTCGATAGCCCTCGACAAACTCAAATACGGCGTAGGGTGTAGACTGAGGCTGTCAACTGAAAATATAACTTATGTAAATTAATTAAAAAAGAAGGGAAAACCAGAGGGATCCACAGGGGGTGCTAGGATATCGACAAGGTAAGATATTAATGCTTGTGTATCTGTTTATTGATAACATTAACAAACAGTTGAACCAGTATCGGCATAGAAGGAAACTGGTATCCTGCTATGCCCAGATACTGTTTCAACAACCAGTAGCTAGCTAGCATTATCTGCAGTGGATATATAGAGGTTAGTTAACTTGGCTAGTCACTAGTTAGCTGTCTAGTCTGCTAGTATACATGTATAGATGACACTCCATCAGCACTTCGAGATATTAGCTGATGTAAGAAGGGCTATATAAAATAAAATTGATTGATTGACTCCAGTAATATAAAAGTTGTCCCTCTTTGTCAACTTCTGGTGCCGCTGTCACTGTCTGTGTGCAGCCACCTGTCCAATGTCACTGTTATTTTCTCAAAGTATATGATGTCATCTGATCTGGAAGAATATAGAAATCCTAGCTAACTAATCCTTTGCTTCCTAAATATGAAAGGCTTAGGTAAACATTCTGAATATCCAGGTTACATTTACTATATGGTGTGTAACCAGGTGTTATAGGCCTATATTCCCATATGTTGGACATTTGTAGGTGTGTTGGTACAGAAGGCTAGATGCAGATTGTACAGCAGATATGTGATAACTACAGTGCATTTGGAAAGTATTCAGACCCCTTGACTTTTTCCACATTTTGATATGTTACAGCCTTATTCTAAAATGGATTGAATTGTTTTTTCCCCCCTCATCAATCTACACACAATACCCCACAATGACAAAGAAAAAACAGGGTTAGAATTTGGATGGGGAGCGTCGCTGCACAGCTATTTTCAGGTCTCTCCAGAGATGTTCGATCGGGTTAAAGTCCGGGCTCTGGCTGGGCCACTCAAGGACATTCAGAGACTTGTCCCAAAGCCAGTCCTGTGTTGTCTTGGCTGTGTGCTTAGGGTCGTTGTCCTGTTGGAAGGTGAACCTTCGCCCCAGTCTGAGGTCCTGAGCGCTCTGGAGCAGGTTTTCATCAAGGATCTCTCTGTACTTTGCTCTGTTCATCTTTCCCTTGATCCTGACTAGTCTCCCAGTCCCTGCCGCTGAAAAACATCCCCACAGCACAATGCTGCCACCACCATGCTTCACGTAGGGATGGTGCCAGGGTTCCTCCAGACATGACGCTTAGCTTTCAGGCCAAAGAGTTCAATCTTGGTTTCATCAGACCAGAGGATCTTGTTTCTTGGTTCGTTAAATGCCTTTTGGAAAACTCCAAGCGGGCTGTCATGTGCATTTTACTGAGGAGTGGCTTCCGTCTGGCCACTCTACCATAAAGGCCTGATTGGTGGAGTGCTGCAGAGATGGTTGTCCTTCTGGAAGGTTCTCCCATCTCCACAGAGGAACTCTGGAACTCTTTCAGAGTGACCATTGGGTTTTTGGTCACCTCCCTGACCAAGGCCCTTCTCCCCCGATTGCTCAATTTGGCCAGGCGGCCAGCTCTAGGAAGAGTCTTGGTGGTTCCAAACCTCTTCCATTTAAGAATGATGGAGGCAACTGTGTTCTTTGGGACCTTCAATGCTGCAGAAATGTTTTGATACCCTTCCCCAGATCTGTGCCTCCTTCGACCTAATGGCTTGATTTTTGCTCTGACATACACTGTCAACTGTGGGACCTTATATAGACAGTTGTGTGACTTTCCAATTCATGTCCAATCAATTGAATTTACCGCAGGTGGACTCCAATCAAGTTGTAGAAACATCTCAAGGATGATCAATGGAAACAGGATGCACCTGAGCTCAATTTCGAGTCTCATAGCAAAGGGTCTGAGTACTTATGTAAATAAGTTATTTCTGTTTTTAATGTTTAATAAATTTGCAAACATTTCTAAAAACTTGTTTTCACTTTGTCATTATGGGGTATTGTGTGTAGATTGATGAGGAAATTTTTTTATTAACCATTTTAGAATAAGGCTGTAAAGTAACAATGTGGAAAAAGTGAAGGGGTCTGAATACTTTCCGAATGCACTGTATGTTTCCATTACAGGGCGTTACACGTTAACTTATACGAAACGCTGCCATAGATGTTTCAACTGACCTGCTCTTGGCGATACTGTCTATGTTCTCGATTCGGGGGAAAAGTTATCTTTTATAAATGTCCAGTTGCAGAAGTGACCATGTCCAGTCTACGAGAACTCAGAAAGATATTCAATCCACGTTTTGTATTGAGTGACAAATGCCTCGCGGCCACGTCATGTAGAAATGACTAGTTCCTGCAAAGATGCTGGGAAATCCTAGATGTGCGGCAGCTAAGATGGTGAGGAACCTCCTTGCGTGGTACAAAACATTAGGGCTGGGAATTGACAGGGACTTGCACACCATATGTCTGCTGCAGAGAGCCGAGAGAGACGTGAGAAAACGAGTTTTGATCAGTGATGGAAATAAAAGTGCTGAAAACAAATTGGCTTCCTATTTAAAAAGAAGATGGACAACAAGCTATGAGGTGAAAATACTGGAGTTTTGGTGCAGGTACAGCCAACTAGCGCAAAAATAATGTTGCGATATTGTCAAACCGATACGATATAGTGTCAAAAATAATATCCCTATATGTAACAGTTTTGATTTACTGCCATCACTACAAAACATGGATTTAATATCTTTCGGAGATTTCTCTGTTTAAAAAAACAAATTTTTTAACCGATACCTTTTCCCCGAATCGAAAAAGAAGACGGTATCGCCAAGAGCAGGTTAGTTGAAACATCTATGGCGGCATTTTGTATAAGCTAACCTGTTACGCCCAGTAATGGAAACAGTTGTCACATATATGGCATACAATCTGTAGCTACAGTAGTCTAACCTTATCCTAAAGAAACTGATCTTGATTTGTGATCATCCATTCCGGTTTGTATTTAGCTTTTTGCAGCTTGGATCAGATAGACTGGTAGTATTGTAGTGTCCTACCATGGCCTCTCCAGTGGCCTCTAAGCAGCTTTATGGCAAATGCTGTCTTGACTCTTGCAGCCCTATGCTCCAGTTACTTTCCCATGCTAGGTCTAGGATCAGCTCTTTCTAGTACACCAAGCCTGGACCAGTTTAGCGAATAGCCTACTGTACCAACACACCTACCCATGTAAGTCCAATTAAATTGCTATTTAAAAGGATTACTTTGAAATAATTGACTAAAATACAGGCCCTGAGTGGCTCAGTTGGTAGAGATAAAAAATAAATAAAAATAAATAGGTCATTTAGCAGACGCTCTTATCCAGAGCGACTTACAGGAGCAATTAGGGTTAAGTGCCTTGCTCAAGGGCACATCGACAGATTTTTCACCTAGTCGGCTCGGGGATTAGAACCAGAGACCTTTCGGTTACTGGCACAACGCTCTTAACCACTAAGCTACCTGCCTTGCAACGCCAGGGTTGTGGGTTCGATTCCCACGGGGGGCCAGTATGAAAAAAAAATAAAAATAATGGATGCACTCACTAACTGTAAGTCGCTCTGGATAAGAGCGTCTGCTAAATGACTAAAATGT